ATGTTACGTAGCTACAAAGGAACATCTCCAGACAGAGAAACACCAGTTTTGTTTACTGCTATCGACTTGTTTTGGTTTCTCATTTTCTCAAAGTGCAATGCTACAACAAGTGATACAATAAAACAAAGAGAGATAACTCTAAGGTCCAACTCACACTGGCGCAGAGTGAAAGCGTCGCGTCGCGTCCTGTTTTTCAACAACAACGTCTGACGACGCTCGCATTAGTGCGCCTGGATCACAGTGTGGTCCACTCGCCTCACTGCGCTCAAGTAACGCGCGCGTCCACGCTTGACTACATTATTTGCATAACACAAATGTGTACCTTAATTTGGGGAAAATAGGGATGAATATACTATAGGCGAAAAATGATGCGTAGCGACGCTTCGACTCTGTGCCAGTGTGAGTTGAGCCTAATCTTCATTGATTTTCATCTTCATGTTCCAGATTTTCCAAAGAAATAGTCGTAAACACCATTTTCCCGCTAGTGTAAGTGCAGCCATAATAATTAATTAATATATTTTAAAATTGGCTATTAAAAATGAATACTAATTTATGAAACTTAAATACTTCTAACAAATGAGGTCTAAACAGTTTGATGATTTTTTTATTCTTTCCGCTGAAGACAAAGGTAATTGTTTATTAACTGGCAAACAAAAGTCTACAGACTACAAAACAATTTAAAAGAGTCCCGCTTTCTAATTTTTGATAAAAAAACAAGTACTATCATTGGCTGATGTCTTCAAAGTAAAACTTGAGACTGACCTTGGATAAGAGCGAGCGAAAAAATGTTCATAAACGTGAAACAACACCAAGTCGCACTTAAGCAAAAATTTCACTCAAGTCGATCTCAGTTAAGAATTTTCTTAAGTGCGATTTTTGTTTTGTTCATAAATACGGGTGTTAGTGTCGATAGTCCATACAATATTTATCGACGTAATGAACTGTCATTCCACTGCATCTACAAAAAAGCCAGACTATAGTCGTTCATACTTCATCTAATTTTTATAATATTAAGGAACGAACAAGTCGTGCGCTTGATGGTAAGAGAGACGCCTGTCCATAACCGTTTGTAGTGCCATTCAGAGCTTTAAATCGCAAAAGATTTGAGGGGCACTGCCACTTCGCCCGTCACCCTGAGACATAAGTTGACAAGTCCCGTGTGCCTGTAATTTCACCAGCACCCTTATCCTTCAAAAACCGGAACGCAGTAATGCTCACATTACTGCTTGGCGGCAGAAATAAGTAAGGTGGCAGTAATACCCTGGACGAACTCTTTCACAAGGTGTTCTACTGCTAGTAACGTTGACGTTTTCATTGTTAAATTATTTACAACGAATTCGTCTCGATTAAACAACGGTGCGTGGAAAAATCTACCTCGCTAACGTGACCCACGGAATAAAAGTGGTCGATATGGACTGCGGTATCGTCGATTAGTCGCATGCATAGTTAATGAATTGCCAGTAGCCACTTATTCAAATTACACCATGACCGTACGCTGGGAAGGTATTTTTATCGGATATTAGTTGTAATTGGTGTCAGCAAGGTCGCAGTGTATGTAAATAAATGATAACTTTAGCTGAAGGTATTTGTTAAAGTTGAATATGACACTATTTGATGGATTATGACCATATTTTCATTGGAACGTTGTTTAACGCGACGTGATCGACAGTACGATATGGAATTGTTATCGTATCATTATTCATGACACGAAACTACGATAATAAAAGAGAAACTAGTAGTAACTTAGACGTGTTATCATAAGTTGTAACGCAATAATTAAATTTCAGTTAAAAATAATTATACATCTGAACGCTGGTCAGAGACATTGAGCCGACTAATTCTAATTCAAATATTTATTCACCAACACAACACTGTCACACTATATGGCGTATAGAAATTAGGATAACAAATAGAAAATACAAATTTAAATTTAATATAAGCCGCTTATCTTCATGAATTTTTATGAAAATGGACGTAAATTTTACTTGAAAACATAAGTCACTATCAAGTATGCTTCAAATTTAATTGATGCTTTTTGCGTGAATAAGTACAGACATTATAGTTGAAAACGCGACCCAAATAGAATCTAGAACCAAACTGCTGGCGTATGAAAATTTCCGTTTCAATCCGTTGCTGGCGATTCCATCTCCGGAGTACGCGCTCTGCGCTTTATTGGCTTCTCTTTTCCGGACGTTAGCATCTGAAAGTAATGTTTGTCGCTATTTCTATTTTTATTTAGTTACAGGAATCAAATGTCATGGCGTAATCTATCTACAGCACACATTGACTTATAATTATATGGACGTCGGGTCCGCGCTAAAAAGTGTCCGAACTTATAGGGCGTTAAAATCGTATACAGAGCGTCATTCACGCTGTAGTCTTAGCAAGCAAAATTAGACAGTACTGCGATGACATTACAATTTAAATTCAAGGTTTTAGCTTTTTCATTTTCCTTCACATGTCACTACGTTTAAATAGGTTGACTTGGGACATTTTTTTCGTGGTTTTCGTATTAGACCCGTCGTCCATTTATTTGTAAGTCAATGACAGCATAGCACTGTGTGTGGGTTAATTTTAGGTCAAAACAGGAAGCCTGATTTTCGGGAAGTTAGAATTAAGTTGCCGTGGCTGTATGTTTATCATACCTACATATACACACTTCACACCTTTTTGCTCACTTCCTTTGATCCTGGAAATCATCTTTCCCTGCTGCTCTAAAGCAAAACGTAATGAGGACCAAATTAAAAAAAAACATTTTTAAACGAATGCTACACATAGTAAGCACTCACCTAATAGCGGCGACATCCGCTTCAAATTCAAATTAAAAAAATGTACAAGTCATCAACTATTTCAAAATGTTAAAAACCTGGTAAGGTCTAGTCTAGTCAGCCAAAAATCTTTTTAGTCACTTTAACCAATTCAAAACATATTAAGTATTTGACACTTGCTGGTTACTGGGTATTTGAATTGGCAATTAGTGGATAATGGAACTCTACTGATACTGTAAATCTTAGCCGTTTTATTACTTTTATTATTCAAACAAAATCAAATTTTAATCCAAATTTTCTAATGCTATTGCATAATAAAGTTTTTACTAAACCAAATACCTAGCAAATGCTAATATTGTGTTTTGATTTTGGCTGCTAACTGCTAACGGTAACTTTTCTTATGTACATGAATATTTTAAAGTTAATAAGGATATAGAATATGTAATACTAGCTATAAAAGTTTGCATCATTTTTGTGACATCAATATGTTCGTTGTATATTCGTTGATTACCTTACCTAATACTATTACTTTTTTGCTTTAAAATTCAAAGGCGGCCTTGATTTGTGTTTTGGGCTCTCCCGTAAAATGTTGTCTACCATCAACCCGCGTCAATGCTTTCATATGCGCTCCTCGGTTACGGATTCTCTTGACTTAGCCTTATTTGTTTACTGTATTGGGATAACGCCGTAATTGCTGTTTCATTCCAATTGCTTAAATCCCAAATACGTATTTTCAATTTCAATTGAATTTTTATGTCCTTATTGCGAGTGTTAAATTTCAAAGTGTTGTTATCTTCATCGATTTACTTCTTAAGCCAAAAGCGGCGTAATCTGTCGGCAGGATTATACGCTTATTTTATTAAGTACCAATAAAAGTTTCACATTGTTTATAAAGCTTAATTTGGAAGTTTGCGACTTTGAAATTCTAAATTATGTAGACGCTGTTTACCTTACGGTTTTAATGAAATCCGATTTCAATTCAATTAAGCATCATTAAGTGAGATGGAAAACATTGTGTACAAAGGACGGTACTCCCAAAACGTCGCCTTACTTTCTTAAACCCGTATCTTAAAGCACAAACTAATTGAAATGCAAAAAATGCATTGTAACAAATTTTGCAGGTTGATTTCACAATCACATTTCCTTCATATTAACTGGGTAAGGTATCGAAATGACAAAAAAGGAACTATAATTAACGGTAGACTTCTTCCAGATGATGATGACGTAGTAACTATGCATTATATCACATTTGGAAGTGACATAAAATCCAGTACTGAATTTGAACTCAAATTATAGTAAATCAACAAAGTGGTCAAAGCGCCGATAATGGAGTCACTTCTCGCCCTTAAATAATACCCTAAGGGGCAACCCGGATCAAAGTTAGGAGAGTATGCAATCTAACTATTATGGTCCTTGAGCCCAGTTACGAAAATTAAACCTTGAATCGTGAACAATGCGCGACAATAAAACAATGCTTAAATGAATAAACGTTTCATTTGTTTTAATCGGTGAATTAATATATACATAATTATTCGATCTTTGCGACCTTTGAAGGACAAAGCATTAAATGTTTTTGTTGTTTTGAAATCGTCGATAAATTATAACACTTTGAGACGTTTTACATTTCAGAATAATTACAGTAGCTGTCTTAACTTAATTGACGCGTTTCTGTAAACTATTAATTTAAGATTTAATGAGATTGAGGGACAAATTAAACAAGTTTTCAACTAAAGAGCGATGCTAGCCTCACTTGAGAGATCGATGATTTGCATCCTGTAAAATTCGGTATATGTGACTATAAGGCTGCTAAAAGATTGACTGCCTGTTTGCGGTTATATAAAGGATACCGGTGCCAAACAGTGGGATGGAACTTGCGTAGATAGTAATAAAAATAAAATCTTTACTCATTCAAACAAGCACATACAAATTCATTCTCCTAAACTAAGTAAACCTACGCCTTAGGAGACACTGCCTTTCCAGTCAGTAAACGGATTTTATACAAACCAATAAAAGTTCTTATTATAAGTACTGACTCTAAATATTATATTGGTACTGGTTAAACTGGTTTGATGATAGAGTATTATTCTGGGAACGCGTGCATGTATGATTTTATTTGCTCTTTCGTCTAGTTACGGTTTACGATGAAGACGCAGTATACCAAGTCTATAAAATAGGTAGATTTGCTAAGCAGACATTTTTCTTAAGATTAACTTTAAATATATCTTGTTACAGGCATACGAGAGACGGTTTCCTCGCTGCCCTCAGATCCCAGTGGTAGTCGATTGTTCGGTCACGGAGGACAGTTGGTCCGCCGATGACTCGCAGCGCAACACCACACGGCGCTGCCAGCTTAACGTTGACGCTCCTTATCTCTTGAAGAAGGTTGGTGTCGGATAGGAAATTTCATTTTGTTTGGTCTCTTTATTCACCACGTATGAGAAGTTGTATGCACACAGTTCAATCGGGAACGCTCTCGACCAATCGCCTGCTTATAATGTCCAGGGCCTAAGCTCTGCCTCAGGTCAAGACAGGCTTGAGAAACAACGTCCAAACACGATTGGTAGATTGGATTGAGCAATACGTAACAGCTGGTAACTTTTATCCGCAGATGGTAGGTGTGGATTACGTGTACTTTATCCAGAAGAACCATCTGGACCTGAAGAAGCGCGTGCTGGAGATCGAGGCCACAAACGAGACCTTCTCCTCCAGAGTCGAGGTTCTCGAGAAATGCCGATATTTCGTGAGTGCTGTTTTAATATTTCTAGATTTACTCTTTATTCCATTTCACAACATGAGTGGATTTTTATTATTTTTATCATAGCAGTTGCACCTTACGAACGTGCTCAGTAAAGTAAGTAATGGTAATATTTGTTTACTTTTATCTGTAATAGCAACTGCCAGGAACCTATAAAGATTAACGTGTTCCCTCTGTGATGCAAGATTTTCATTGTGCATTAATTATTGTATCCTGAAAGTGATTATGTTCGGTAATTAATTGTTTATATATAGTTTTCTGAAATTCTTTTGGAACTTTAATTGGACGAGTATTTCTAAAGTATAAGCCACATATTTCGTAGTATCCTACAGCGCGGTTAAACAATGTAACACAAAATGCATTCTACTTTAAGGTTGTATAACATTGTGGTTTAGTCCAGACATAGTACAAATACAGGGGTTTACATGCACGTAGGAAAGCAACGGGTTCAGTACCGGTCCTTGTAGAACTCTTACGTCAATTAGTATTACAAGTTCACATTCCAAAGTACAAAGCACCTGTTAAAACAAAATCGCATATTACTGCACGGGACTAAGGCATATAATCACGAATACCTGTTCATAATGTCAGCAACACATGCCACTAAATGATCGGTACAAGGATCGAAAGCGACCATTATAGACACCTGTTGAGGATTTAATACTATGTTAGATGAATTTCCGGCGAATAGGTTTTCTTGAGATATGTAACTTCGTGTATGTTAATGGCAACACGAACGTAACATTAAGACGCGTGTTCAATGGCGAAACGTATTATAAGTAGTTGACACAAGTACTAACGTTGACAGTTACGTAAAATGACGATGTTCAATGACTTCGATTTAAAAACGAGCTAAAAAGACTTGATTTCCCGTCGGCAATCCAAGCGGATGCCTTTTTCGCTGGACATGAAGGTTTTACTGACCGGCTCAAGCCGATTCTGCATTAATAAGTGTGACGTCTCCCCAAATTGCTACGTTGATTAAATACTCACTCGAAAGGCATATCAAAAGGCGTATCACATGCAATATTTATTTCAAATATCTTTGATAGAAACAACCTGAAATTGCTAAATGAGTAACTGCTTTGGATTTTTGTCATCCAAATACACATAGGCATATATAAAAAAATCAATCTTTTGTATAAAGTTTTTGCTTTACTACAATTTTAAACATCCCAAATGGCATTGATATACTGACCCCTAAAACTCTCCCTAAAGGAGTTCGATATTAAGGACAAAACTTTGGATTTAATGCATGGCAATTATGAAACACACCATGAACTGAACACCTCACACCGGCTGATACGGACTATCAAGACGCACAAAATCACATATCTTGGTCACGAGCTTCGACACGATAGGTACTGGTTCAACTTATAATGATAGGAAAGGTTGAAGGCAAAAGATGCGCTAGTAGACGTAAAAAGTAAAAAGGAGAGGATCGAAGTCACGAGCGCAGAACAATTATTTCGTTTGTCCGTGGATCGGACCTCCAGTAGTGGAGAGGCATTTAAAGAAGAATTATACAAATCAATAAAACTTCAATAATGCTTCTAAGCAATTATAGCTTTTATGTCTTTATATTATAAGCTTGAAACCTGTTAATAATGAAATTGTTGGTAGACACGCAAATTCATTATTAAATGACGCCCACGGTAAGCTAACGTTTTGCACTGTAAATTCTAGATGAGGAGGTCTCGGGTTTTATCGTTGGTAGGGCCAATTTTGGAAAATGGATTATTTTGATGGTCTGGGTGTTCTGGATAATGTTTCTGAATGAATTCCATTGCTCTAATACTCATGGTACCTAGTTTGTGTGGCACATTATTATTAAACATGTGTATAGTCGTAGTCATGACTATGTCCAGTCACTATTATATACATAAAATCACTTCATTATTAAAAATAACCGTAAACGCCGTATCATCTTGCACCACAATAATGCCAGTTTTCAAACGGCCAGACAGACAAATGAATTTTTGAAATTGAACAACGTTGACCTTAGGAGCCATCCCTCGTACAGTCCCGACCTGGCACCTTGTGACTTTTATTTATTTCCAAAAATTAAGAATCAGTTACGCGGTCAACGGTTTTCATCACCTGAAGAGGCTGTCGAAGAGTATGAAAAATATGTTTCAGAGATTGTCACGTTTAAGTGGCATAAATGTTTTCAAAATTGGTTCATTCGTATGAAAAAGTGCATTAACGCTAACGGAGAATATTTTGAGAAACAATAAATTCATTTTAATTATTAATACAAAAATCGAACACTCAGAAAAAATTCCTTCGATCCGGCCGGATTCGAACCGATGTCTTTTAGCTTACCGTGGCAGACGCTATACCGATTAAGCCACGGAACGAACCAGCGGACCTCACGAATTTTTCTATGTGCTTGCGTCGTGTCTTTGTATTTGGTTTTTCAACGACTTTTTAGTCGTAGCGCCATCTAAAT